AAATAATGAATATAAAATGCCTGGAACATAACAGACCTCCATGATTGGTGGTTGCTATTGGCATTATTTAATATTAAAATTAGCTACAAGATTTGAAAGTTTACTTCTATCACATAAAATCAAGAGTATGCAGGAATTAATATCAAGATAAATATCCTGGGTGTACCACCTTTGCACATGTAAGCAATGGATACATAGTCCTTGAGACATTGTTGTGTATTTGTTGGCCCAACGGCATGCATTTGGCAGTGGGAGGCAGAGATGAGCTGGTGTAATGGGTGTGCGTGAGGGACCTCTGCAGGTGTATAGGACATAAATGGAGCACAGCTATGACTATCTTCAGGGATCTGCCCAAGGTTCTTGCAGTAATGTTGTCCATGCATCAATGTGCTGTATTTCCATGGAACTCAATATTTAGCACACCAGTGTCTCTCGGAGTTGGTGGTTAACCCCTTCGTCCTGAACCTGGTTATGTTCAGATCATTGCTCTTCAAAATCCTATGTACTGCCAAGTACTTTAGTGTTGGCATCACAAAGAAGGATGTGTTGAATATTGATTCTCTTTGATAAGGGAGACCCTTTCACTTCAGGGTATTTGCAACACTGCCCAGTGGAACTTTCTGCAGTGATAGAAATGGTCCGTATATGAGCTGTTCAGTATGGTAGCCACTAGCCCCATGGAACTACTGAACACTTGAAAAGTGGCTAGCATGATTAGAGCATTGAACTTTTAATTTTATTTAATTTTAGTTAAATAAATGTAAGCAAATGTACATATAGATAACCATATGCATCTAGTGGTTGTCTTATTGTACAGCATAGTCTTAGGACATTTACTTAATTTCCCTGTTTATTTATCACTGTTCTCTTTATTATTATTATTGTTGCCAGAGCAGTAATACTGAAGTATACCTCTATAGAGACATGGGTTTATTCATCTCCTCATGTAAATTTTAACTGAGATCTTCTAGAACTCAGAAAGTGCTGGTATCTTATCCATTGCTTATGTACATGTTGCTGAAATATTATCATTATAACCACATCTATGCTGTAGCTTATTTGTAAATTATTTGTTGTTATTGTTCTTAGTAAGTATGCTGATAGGACTGAGGAAATTGTTAGTGAGAGCTGCTCCTCAGAGAGTGAGGAATGTGAAGAATCACCTGACCATCGTCAAGAAGCAAATGCAGATTTACCATCGGAATATTGGCAAATTCAGAAGCTGGTGAAATATTTAAAGGTAAAATTAGACAATTTTTAAAAAATATGTTTTCAATGTTCATTTTAAATCCTTTCCCAAAAATGTATATTCTGCTTCCTAGTTTATTACATGTTTCTTTCAAATAAGGGTATTAGACATCTCTCTTGTTATTTAAGTGTGCACAGAGGAAGGTCTTATTACCCCAAGGATGCAAGATCAGTCCTCATGGAGCAGTCAGGCTGCCTAGTACCAGCCCTCTCTCCCAGCTGGGGAGTGAGAGATGGTCATGGCAGACACCAGATACTGTGACTTGCCACCATTTTATAATTTGCAGTACGGTAGAGTGAAAAAAGGATCGATTTTTGAAGCTGGATTTAGGTTAAATTCTAGGCTGCATCACTTACTAGCAGTGTGGCTATTGAAAAATTATGGTTTGGAGCCTTAATTTTCTCAACCCATAGAGTGAAATTAATGATGTCTGTAATATAGGATTAATTTAAGGACTAAGAAAGCACATTTGAAGCGTAGCATGTTATCTGATACATTATAGGTGCTTAAAATATGTATTGGCCTGTTTCCATTTCTCTCTTAAGTTAGGTAACAGGTTTGAAAATATTTTACATGATAACTGAACCATATAATGTATTTAAGTACATGAATGGGGGACAGGGCAAGGAAAATGGCTTGCCAGAACCCAGATTAATATCCACTTCTGGTATCAAATAACAGATATTGATAATGCTTGTGAAAGCATTAGAGTGCTTGTGAAAAAAATGTTCTGACTTCCCTCATGTTTTTCTCCTGCTTTTTCATGTTTTTGGTCAAATCAAATAAGGACATTTGCTAGTGGCTTTGCATATTTAAAGATATTTATGAGACTCCTAGATTGCCAAAGGGTACTTTTTCATGTTTTTGAGGTGTATTCAAGGTAACATGTACAATAGCCTGTATGCACATTTTTGTGAATTAGACAAAGGCCCTCTGCATGAACACAGTCTTCTAGGCATAAGAGAACTGAAAAAGCTTTTCCTGCAAGAAAAACATGTTCTCTTCCTCTGATGGACATGGCCTCAGTTGGAATTCTTAGCATTTCTCAGAAAAGAAAAGTCTGTTTTCCTGAATCCTGAATCCCAAGAAAAATTAGTAAAGAAAATGGCAAAACAGGAAAAAGTATTCTAATTCTCCTTTGAGAATTCAAGTTGAATAATCATCGTAGAGACATTACTGGTTTGAAGGAACACACTGACATCATGGGAAGCAAGAGCAAAAATGCTGATGGGTGAGTCCAAGGTGAAGGTAGGCATTTCCAGGCACCGAGACAGGAGCTAGTAGAAGAAAAGTGGTCTCAGTCTAATCAGTCAGACTTGTTTGGAGCTGTTGCCATGCTGTAAATGTGCATCTGCTACTAACACTGAGGCATTCTTGCAAAAATAAATATTAATGCATTTATATGTGTAGTATACTTTATACAAATCCTATTAGTGGTGTTCTAAGAAATAAGAAATTTTAGAAGCAAAATAAGTCCTTAAATCTGAAATTTGTGCCTAGAATTCCAATTTCAACTAATTGTAATTCTATGTAGTCTTGTCAAGCTTCTAGGAAATCTGAATGTTACATTATTTGGATATATACAATAATTTTTAATGGAATTTTTCAGTTTGAATATTCACTATATTATGTGTATTATATATTATGATCAATTCTTTGTGAGTAATTTAACAGAAGAAATGCAAAGAGAAGATGTGAATGTGTGTAGTACACTCCATTATGAAACAAGAAGATGATCTGAAAACTGAATTAGGGAAAACAATATAGATTTTGACGGCCAAACCAACATCAGGGCAAGCAGATAGAATATTTTCATATTTATACCTGACTTTGAAGTCTATTACAAAGCTTTAATAATCAAAATAGCATGGTATTGGCAGAGAAACAGACACGTTGACTGATGGAGCAGTATAGGGAGCCCAGAAATAAACCCATACATTTATGGTCAATTGATTTTTACAAAGGTGACAAAAATACACGATGGATAAAGAACAGTCTCTTCAATAAATGGTGTTGGGACAACTGGATATCCATACGCAGAAGAATGAAATGACACCCTTATCTCACACACCATATACAAAAAACAACTCAAAATGGATTAAAGATTTACAGATAATACCTGAAACTGAAACTGCTAGAAGAAAACAGGGGAAATGCTCCAGAACGTTGGTCTGGGCAAAGATTTCTTAGATATGACCCCAAAAGCAAATGCAACAAAACAAAAATAAACAAATGGGATTGCATCAAGCTAGAAAGCTTCTGCATAACAAAGGAAGCAATAGAGTGAAGAGACGGGCCGGCCCGGTGGCGCACTGGAGAGTGC